AAAGGCATGGTTTTTACGTACGCATCTACACCTTACGGCGTGCCCAATGACTGGACTATTGAGACAACGACGGCAGCCCGAGATTCGAGCGTCGGAGCTATCGCAGTAGTGGGCTTCAACGTCGCTCGTGCACCTCCGACCTCTACACCAAACCCTTCCGGTGGCTCTACAAGCTTCGCAAGCTCACCCTTCACATCCGCATCGCCAGCTATGTCGACAAGCGGTCCGTCACCAACTTCGTCCGGTTCAAACGGCCCTGCCAGAGACGGCGGCATGTCAACGGGCGAGAAGATCGGCATTGGCTTGGGTGTTACACTAGGTGTGATCGGTACTGCGGCGCTCATCTTTGCTATGCTGTTGCTTCGCCGAAGAAATGGAAAGCGAGCAAACACGCCTGACGCCCCCGTTCCGGTGGCCGGAAGCGAACCCAAACCGATGGAAACATATCAACCCCCTCAAGAATACGAATATCACATCTCTGAGCTCCAGGGTCATTATCAACCTCACGAACTACCATCTCAAGAGCCTAAATCTCCGGTTGAGATGGGATACCCTGGTCGATAGTAGGCGTTTTGGGAAAGCAGTCGTAATCTCATGCCTTCTGTCATATATACCAGATTCCGGGTCAGGGCGTGGCTGGCCCACGAAGCAGGAGGATGCGGACCTCGAGAAGTTCGCAAGCGCGCATTATGGTCGCCCAACGCGTTCACTGCGGTTACGCTTTACCGGTGATACTTCTTCTTGACCCAAGACTGTTAGAGTGCCGCAATACTGGTAGTAGCGCATTCTTGCTGATAGTTCGATGGACTCAGAAACGGGGCGAGGATCATCAAAACCTTTGTGTCCGGACATTCCGTTCTCCATCTCTTTTTCTTAGGCTTCCAGCCACTCTCGATTTGTTGCGTTCTACTAAGTCTCTTTCCTGAAGCATGCTGTATGATATTGGGGACTGTTGCTGAGCCGGAGTTCGTGTTGGTGGTTGGACTTTGACAGAGCAACGAGGCCACGTTATTGACCAGAGTTTATTGGCTTGGCGCACGTCGAATGCACAACCTTCTTGCACTTTCTGTATGCACTTTCGCAGACTACCATCCTACCAGCACCTGCCAGCCAAGATGACTTCTGCTTCGCTGTGCGCGTTTGCGACGGGTGTTCGAAATAATTGCATCAAAACCCCTCTACTACCCAAGATCTGGAGGCGTACTTCCTCGTTCCTCATCGTTCATCGGTCTCTTTGCATCACCCCGTCATCGAAATCCATCTCTTATCGCGGTCTGAAGAAGAGGACACGTTGCGTAAATGGCGCAATCGCTGACATCCGGCTCATACGGCGAATTCGGACGAGCCGGCGATTCCCATAGTGCGTATACGACCCCAAAGAAGCGCAAAACGCGAAATACGTAAGCGGTTGCGTCAGTGCCTGAGGTACCTGCGGAAGAGACACCAGGCAGCAACGTTTGGAAACGCCTCAAGTTGTGTTTGTCACGTCTTGTCGCGTTCCTGGTGATAGCAGAAAGGGATGACAGCATGCTGCGCCACTGTTTTTGGCGCAGCGCTAAGCCTAATCTGGTGGTGCTTGCGAGAAAAATCAACCACCACAACGGCTGCTTCCTGCGGTGGGCATCTCGGTGCGGCAGACCAATCGACTCGGACTGCCATGCCATCCCTCGTCCGGTTTCAGAATGAAGTTTGCAGCCCTGTCATCGCTCTCTTCCTGTTCTGATAGGTCCAGTCATACACGCTGCTTACACGCTGGGTGGTCCGATCGCGAATTCTTTCCCTAGCGAGTCTTCGCACTGCCGGCCGAACGCCTTGTCCAACCTACGTCGACGTCAATTTCCTGAGCTTATCGTCGCGTACCTCGGTGCATGGGAGTCGGCCTTGCGCTCATCTACAGAGCTTGTCAGATATAGGCGAGCTGAAGCTTGTCGCTTGGATCATTTGGTAATATAGGCTTGATCGTAGTCGTAGGCTCCAGAGGCGGAGTTGCCTGAGATCCGATTAGGAATATCGTTGTTTACCTACGGTATCTTTATAGTCAGAAACGAAGGCCCGAATCTGGAAGGCAGGTGTTGTCTTTGGTGCCTAAGTCTTGTTCCTGTCGCTTTCTTCTATTCTTCCATTCTTTAGAATACCGTATCACCATGGTCTACACCGGAAAGCCGAGCCGGGGGTGTGGGATGTGTAAAAGCCGCCGAATAAAGGTATGTATTACCTCGCGACAATTACTCTATTCTCTTGACTAGCAATATCGCCTCCGAGCGTATTCGGATGCGCTTGCCTGAGGCCGCATTTTGGCTCGCCGACTGACTGTGCATAGTGCGACGAGAAACGACCAACATGTGGCAACTGCAAAAAGTCCGCCCGAGTATGTCCCGGCTATCCTGATGATTTCGACCTGGTCTTTCGAGATGAGAACAAAGCTATGGCCAAGAAGGCGAGGAAGTCTTCCGGAACGACCGCGTCGAACAATAGCAACGGTGCGTCAAGCTCCAGCACTTCTCCGCATCTGTATGTACTACACCATTCTGCTCATGTTGACCCGCTTCGTGCCCGGGGATACCGATAAGCTTTGCCGAGCAAATGGGTACCCTCGCAGGCGGTATGCGTTCTGAAAGTGTTCGCATGTGATTGTCGCAAGCCGAAGACCCACATTGCAATTTGTACACGCTAACACTAATAGGTCACCTTCTTCGACGTTCGATGTATCCCCAGGAGAGAATGCAGTACCGGGGGAGAAAGCCTTCCAAATAATCACCTCGCGATCAAGAACACCCTCGGATTTGAGCCCATCACAACAAATACTTGCTCTGTCCAACTACACAACACCACCACTGTCTCTAGACCAGTCGTTCGACTTCGAAGCGTTCGTGTGGAACCTGGAAAATGCTGTACCTCCAACCATAACACTCGCGCCAGAATGCGAAGCCGTGCCGTTTTTCTTCAAGAACTTCATCACCCTGCCACAACAAGCCGAAAGCACACGAGGATATCTAGAATATCTGGTGCCACTGTACAATCGTGCTCGCCCATCTTCCGTCCTTCATTTGGCCACTACCGCTGTGGCAATGGCAACATGCGGTCAGTATCCTGGCCGACAGCAGCTCCTCCGTGAAGCGGTATCCACTTACGGCAAGGCTATCAAGAAACTGAACGACGATCTAAAAGATCCTGCGATGGCGAAGAGCGATGAGACAGTGCTGGCTATTCTCATGTTTTCATTGTATGAAGTAAGTGGACGAGCCATCTCTTGCAGGCCCAAACAGCTTGGCTGTCTATCCCGAGATGCATATGTTGAGCTAACGAACATCAGACCATAATGAGTACAGACGACACTATCACAGCATGGGGAAATCATGTCGATGGTGCTGTGGCATTAACGAAACTAAGAGGCATGGAACAGTTCAACGACCCCATGTCACATGCCATGTTCCGCGCCGTGCGAACAATGATGGTAAATACCAACAACGCATCTTTTACATACTATAATCTAACAAAGAACAGATTACAAGCTGCGTTCAACGCTCAAAACCCATCGACTCTTTTCCCGGTACCGGAGGTTGGGTCGGCAACGGCGATATCTCAGAGGAGAACGCTGCCAATCGCCTGACACTCATCTGTATCGACCTTCCAAACCTCCGCGCCCGTGCAAATATCCTCACCACCACACCCTATGACCCTGCCTACGGATCAGAAGCTAAGCAAATCCTCGACCTTGCGCAAATGGTCGACGGAAACCTCGAAGAATGGTACCACACCTTGCCTCTAGAATGGAAACATCGGATCATCGGCGTCTCCAGCGATACAATCCCACCCGAGGAGATCGCGCTGGCTGAAAGATGGCCAGGCGAGCAGCACGTATATCACGACGTGTCATTGGCAAGTATAATAAACGACTACCGCGTTTGTCGGATATTCTGTCGAAGAGTCATCATGGCATGTGTGACATGGCTCAGCATCGGTGGCAACTATGCAGATGGCGATGAGACGTGGAGTAGGAGCGTATTTGTCATCCAGATGATGGTGGACGAGATTAGTGCATGTGTGCCATTTCACATGAACTACGAGTTGCAACCCGTGGCGAAGGAAATGGGTCAAGAGCAAAATGGTATGCCGAAGTTCTGCTAACATGGTGTGAAGCATGGCGCTAACTCTTTTGCAGCTGCGGAGGCATTCGGCGGATACTCGCTGGTATGGCCACTATACGTCGCAGCAAACGCCGAGACCGTACCACAAGAGCAACGCGACTGGCTGCTAGGTCGACTGTCCATTATTGGCACAAAGTTTGGGCTGAGTAGTGCTCAGGTGCTGGTATTAGCGAGAAGACATGTTCTGACATGTGGCCCCATGTTCCCTTGACGCAGGCGAGGATGGCGCAAGGGATCTGTAAGAATAGGTGGAGGAGAGAAAACATTCCAGTTCGTGGTCGGCAGCATCGCACCTGTATTATACCTAGGTTCTAAGATAACAGTGAATGGGACTTCGCGGAGGGTCTAATATAAGCCGAATGATTTGTTCCATGGATCGTCATCCGTATCTAGTAAGTGTTCATGTGACCCACGCGTTCGACGCGGATGATCAGTGGAGACATGCAACATGTCAATCGTCAGGCGTCCTAAGCGAAACCCTCGTGATAACAAAACATCACCAGCACCCATCATGCCAGAATCAAAAAAGTTCGTCCTGGCCGCTCACATGTCCGGACTTTTGATCAAGGCATCATCCGCGGCGATCAGCTGCGGCCCGTTTCCGTGCCAAGGCTGACCCTTCAATTCGTGTTCGGGGTTTCATCTGCCCAGCCACAGCCACGGCATCTATAGCGACTGTGGGCCCCTAGCCCTACAGCAATTTGCAGAAACTTGGAAGATTCCTTCCCTGAAGTCTATCTGCATCCCTTCATCCTCAGCCTCATTCAGAGACGCACTCGGCTCTCGCAAGGTTACCCCGCCACACGACCCTCAGCGCAACACCAGCCTCGCTACGTCATCACCACCACAACCATGGGCGCATTGAACCTCATCCCGCTCTTCATCCTCTTCGCGGTTGTCGGAGGCGTAGGATGGGTCGGCTATCAGGTATTCTATCTCCCTCTTGATGCGCGCGCACGGAATGCTAAGCCACGCGCCTCTACAGATCTTCCTCTACTCCAACGAGCTCGCCGAGCGCGGCGTCAAGAAGATGGAGAAGAAGAACGTCGTCTTCACCAAAGACGGCGCTAAGGTCGGAGTCAAGGAAGTCAATGCAGAAGACTATGCGGATAAGACGCAACGTGCCTTCGTCAAGACATGGAATACTGCGCATGAAGGGTAGGTCGTCATGAACGATTATGGGGTATTATTGCTGACTACGTGATAGGGGATCCCCGGCTGCGCGAAGACCTACGAGGTAGTTACGAGGCGACACACGATTCGAGTGCGAACGGATATTTTCTTTTCTACGATACCTTTTTGCTCTGGGCATGCGCGGACGATATCACCCTATTCGCATCGGCTGTCGCGAGGAGGATGGGCAGATTACACGGACAGGCGTTTGGAGGTCTATAGCTCGGTACGGCAACGATGATTGACGCTTGCGGCGACACACTCGGTGCATCCACATGCAGTACTTCTAGGCAGGATAATGAAGAGACGACGCTTATCGAGGCCCTATCAACATGGCACGCTTTTCTGTCGTACTGCTAACCGCTCGTGCGATAGATGGCACGAAAAGCCGAGGACTATTGCTTCCGAAATCTGACCACTGAGTAGTACCTGCCGACGTCACCTCGAACGACTTGCGCAGACTGGAGTATCATCCGATTACGCGTACACTCAAGCTGATAAGCATACGAGAGCCATCGAACATTGGGTTTCGAGTTGTGCTCCGACATGCCGAATCTTGATTGCTGCTCGTACCCAGCTCAACAGCAGCTTCGATTGGCAGCGTATCTATCCTATTCGACTATATACCCCCATAAGACCGCTGTTGGGAGCGGGGTACATTCGAAGCTTGCAGTCTTGGCCGAGGACGTTTCATCTAGACCCCCGGATTGATGTATTTCGCTCATCGGTCAGCATCACATGTCACCAAGCGTACATCGAACCCCAATACAATCGTCCTGCATGGAGTTACTAGCACGGTGGGCATCCCACGCGCCGCTACGGGAACGATACAAGAACGACATTCGAGGTTATGAGGTGAATGGACGGATGAGGTGGGGTAGGCGGGGTGTCAATTACAGTCTGGCCGATTCTTACATGCTGTTTGAGCGGTACATCGAGTTTAACGGTGATGATCAGATATCGATATGCGCTAGCCTGCTTATGCCAGCACCAGCCTGAGGATCAACGACCTTCGCGCACGGACGTTCGATGTACAACCCCATGTCGTGAACTTTGTTGACAACCAGCCGAAGGGTATGACGCGGTCGTTCCACGGTCTTTCTGATTGACCCGGTAGATGATGCGTTCCTCCATGAGATCTTCAAGTCAAACCCCGCCCACCAGATACATAACGCGGGGAGTATCTTGATTCTAATCATTATCGCTCAAGTCCAATCATGACGATTTTGACCACTATCTCAACGACGGGCTTTACGCTGCTCAGCTTGAAAGGCATTTTCAATGCGTTCGCAGTGGTTTTGGCTTCAGTGAGTGCATACTTTACGTTCCTGGGATTGCGGTCACCCTTGCCCTCGCATCTGACATGAGTTTCACAATCGTGACATCAGGAGACTAATCAATTCCCTGACCACTACTCTGATTTGACACACCTTTAAAACTTTACTGACTCCGAATAGGCCATAACCTACGGTATCTGCTCAGTAGTATACAACATCTTCTTCCATCCTCTCAGGCACATACCTGGCCCCCTCTTCGCACGCGCCACCGGTCTGTGTTTCGCCCTACACATACGCGACGGTAGTGTGGTCAAATGGATCAAAGAATGCCACGAGAAGTACGGCGATGCCGTTCGTCTAGAACCAAATGAAGTCAGTTTCATCTCTGGAGAGACCGCATGGCAAGATATCTACGGTCACAAAACAGATAGAAGCAGAAACTTCGTTAAGGACCTGAAGTGGTTGTAAGTTACTTCCATTTGAATCTATGAGCGAGGAGTTGCTGACGACAAGATAGCCCCCGGCCTGTCAATGGCGTCTTGTCACTTCTCATAGCAGACGAAGAGGGACACCCGCGAATGCGACGGAGCTTATCCCATGCTTTCAGCGACAAGGCTCTACGAGGACAAGAAAGTCTCATACAGTCTTATGTCGATCTTCTAGTCCAACGCCTGGGCGAACACGCTGCCGAAGACACGGATATCGATATCAGGACATGGTACAGTGCGTAATCCACGCAGCGCTTTCTTCTGCAGAACTCAAACTGATTACGCAAGATAGACTTCACGACCTTTGACATCATATCCGACCTCACATTCGGCGAACCCCTCTACTGCCTCCGCGACTCCAAAGAACACCTCTGGATCTCCATCACCCTCCGCAGCCTGCAAGCCATCGCCCTCCACGTCTCGCGAGGCAAGCACTTCGTATTCCGATACCTCGACCTCGTCCGCAGCCTCTTCACCGACAACACCGGCCCCATGCGCGCACGCTACGAATTCGCGAAACGCGCACACGACATGGCCAGCAAGCGACTGGAGAAGATCCAAAGCGGAGAAGACACACGCCCCGATTTCTTCACACACATAATCAAGAACCAAGAGAAAGAAAGCACGCGACTCACCCGCGCGGAAATGGATAGTAATGCTGTTTCGTTCCTCATTGCGGGCAGCGAGACAAGTGCCACTGCCCTGTCAGGCGCAACTTACCTGCTCCTCACCAACCCGCAGCCGTACAGGAAACTGGTTACGGAAATCCGGTCGCGCTTCTCCTCTGCGGATCAAATCACCGTCGATGAAGTTAATAAACTGGATTACCTCATTGCTGTATTCCAAGAGGCGTTGAGGTACTATCCGCCTGCTGCTACGGGCCTTGCTCGTGTGGTGCCAGCGGGCGGTGATCGGGTGTCGGGCTACTATGTCCCTGGCGGGGCGTCAGTATATGTTTCCATGCATGCCATGGGTCACTCTGAGCGTAACTGGAGGGATCCGGATGCTTTTGTGCCGGAGAGGTGGTTGGGTGATGAGCGGTACAGGGATGATAAGAGGGCGAGCCATCAGCCGTTTAGCTTTGGGCCGAGGAATTGTATTGGGAAGACGTAAGGTTCCTTTTCTTTCCTCACCTTTTGACTTGCAGAACGCTAGGCTAATATGACCGTATCTAGCCTTGCACACGCGGAAACGCGCCTCATTCTCACCAAGGTGCTCTTCGCTTATGATTTGGAACTTGTGGATAAAGAGAGGGATTGGATGGACCAGAAGGTTTTTGCGCTCTGGGATAAAGGGCCTATGATGGTCAAGGTGAAGCCTGCACAACAGCCGTAAGGTGGAGTGTTGCGGCATGACGGGTTGGCATTTCGAGCATTTTCGAGTTGATTGATTTGTCACACAAGAAAAGCAAGTCTTGATCTGGGCGAGCGAGAGGCAGATTGTAACTTCATCGGCGTTATACTCGCATGCGATAGGTCTACCGTCTATTGTGCTTTCGTCTCAGACTATTCTCATACTTCCCAAAACACCCCCTACAACGTGTAGATGAACTCGGGGTTTTCCCTATCCGTAAGGTCAAGCCACCTGCATCAACGATTAGCGTGTGCAAACTTGAGCAACGGATTCGAGCGATCAAACTTACTCTTGGTTCTCAAGCTTGATATATCCAGGGTCCGCACGAATCAGCGCCTTCTTCTTATTCTGCCTCACGCAGTAAAAGTGAATGAATGCTATGATGCCCAAGCAAACGCCATAGCAGACGATGATCGTGATCTCGGCGGAAACGTAACGAGGCGCGTCTTGCTGGCGGAAAGTTTGGGGACCTATATTTGTTCATTTTATTAGTCAAGCTCGTTCGAAGTACGGAGAATACCACGTACCGATGATATTCCCAGCACAATACCCAATCAAGTACATAGCCGCGACAGTCGTTTTCTTCGTGTACCCCGCTACATTACTCGAGATGAGACTGAGCAAGGCGACGAACGGGGTAGGGCTGGCCTGGGTGAGATAGTAGCCAGCGAGGCGACCGGAGTTGTTGGTCAAAGGCAATGCGACGATGAGGATCATGCCGATCATAGCAGTGGTAAGACCGATCATGGATATCAGGAGGCGGTAGCCGTATTTGTCGCCTGCCCAGCCGCAGGCAATGAGGAAGACGACTTCGACTGCGCCGCCTGGGGTGCCGTAGAGGAGGGACTCTTCGGGCGTGTACCCAAAGCCGACGATGAGTTGAGAGAAGAAGTTTGAGATGCCGCCTTGAAGGGGTGTTAGTGTATGTTTCAGTGATGTTTGTGGTCAGATGCCTTACCGTTGGGTATATCAGCGATGAGCGCGTAGAAGAAGAATGCCCAGCTCAACGGATCGAGGAACGCCTCCTTCAACTGATACCACTTGAAGTGCTTGTTGCCCACACCCTGCGCATTAATCCTAATACGCTCAATAGCCAAGATCCGATCTTCCTTACTCAACCACCGACAGTTCAACTGGTTATCCGGCACGATCCACAGGAATGCAATACCCAGACATGTAGTAAGTAGCCCCGTAACCAAGAAAACAATCTTCCAAGGCTCCATGATAGTTCCGTACTTACGACATCCCACAGCAATGCCGTAAGCAACGCAGCCGCCGAAGATCTGTGCGAAACCGTTGAAGCTGAACCAGATGGCTGTGCGTGAGCCTTGCTCTTTCTTGGTGTACCATTGCGAGGTGAAGAGGGCAAAACCGGGCGTTACGGCTGCTTCGAAGACGCCAAGGAAGAAGCGAATGGCTATTGCTCCGGCGTAGTTTTCTACGGCTGCGAAGCAGGATAGGACGAGACCCCACATTATGATGTTGAAGGCCGCTTTGATGAGTTAGCCCTATCGCGACACGCTGGATAGTCAAAGGATGAAAGTGGAAGGAGACGTACAGTATTTTCCCAAAGGCAAGACTTGCAGTAGACGCGTGGTAGGATACTCCCAAGCGATATATCCAAAGTAGAACATGCTACCCAGCCACGAGTACTGGTCTCCGACTAGACCGATACCGGATTCTAGTATGTTGTCTGAAGGAGGGAGTTTCAGACCCATGATACTTGCGTAACTCAATGTGGTCTTGTCAAGGTAGTTGAGCCCGTAAACTATGCACATAATCTATAGACATTGTTAGCCCGCATTCGCGTATGCCAACGAATGTACCGATAAGTCTCAGAACAAGCAAAAGTGAACGTACGGGCATCATGT